GGACAAATTTGACATTTCAGAAAAGGCAGCGTTCAGAAGCCTGCATGAGAACATTTCACTCTCAGAGGACATTCTGTACCCAGACATTAATGCTATTGTAGTTCCACCAAAGAACTTCAAAGGGAGATTCCAGTGTGAAATGGCCAAATTGGAATCCATCAGCAACTCTTCAGAGTCACTTCCTTCACATGTTTGATCTATCTGGAAAGATGGTATAATACAAGTGCTGTCGTGAATTTTTTTTTTTTTCTTGAGGTCAAATGTCTGATCTACTGTTACCTTTTGGAATTTGGCTCTGTTGGTTTCATGCCTTCCTTTGAAATCTCTCTGTGTGAGATTTTCAGTTGGATGGATGGATGGATGGATGGATGGACGGACAGACAGACAGATAGGTATAATTCTTTTTTAAAAAAGGAAGATAAAAATTAATACAAACTAATATAAGAAAAAGAAAAGAAGGAAGAAATCAAAGAGAATGTGAGGTTTTCCCGTGGAGCCTAATGTTTCTCATCAAGTGGGCTTCTGTCCCTGAAAATGTACATGACAACAAGTTGATCAGTCTTGCAAGCACTCATCTGTCATACACTGTTCAGCAGCTTTGGACCACTGCAATGTAGCCTCTTATGTTACTGATCCCTAAAGCACCCACCCCTGCTATCATTCTTCTCTTCCCACGCTTAGTCTCCACGCTGAAGCTTCAGAAGTCTCAACTGGCTACTAGTTGGAGTAAACAGCAAAGTCACCTTTCAGAACAAGTGGAGAAGATGGAACAATGGCAAGGTGCCATGGGGCCATGACTGATGGAGGAGGGGGGACTCTAAAAGCTGGAAGATGAGAGGAGGCAGGAGTTCTTGCCAGTGGGAAGTATTCTGCCCCACCACTCTAGAGCGGAGACCTTGAAAGAATGAGTTGGCAGTCTTTCCTTTGGAGCAGAAGCTATAGCTATAATTAATAGGCTCTGCTTTCCGGCCCGTAAGCAAACCTGATGCCATTGTGGGGTCACAGGGTGGCCCCAAATTCTCTGTTGGCTTTTCTGCAGCAGGGTCATGCATCTGGACAGGCAGGAGTAGGAAACCAAGTTGGACATGACCCATTGCTAAACCTTTCAAACATTCCCCCTTCTCTCTAAGCTGTTGGGTGAATTTTGATGCAAGATGGCTCTTGTTTTCAGTCTCTTCTTAACAGCAACTTCTTAACAGTGAAGATTTCTCTTTGTATTTCTGTTGCTGAAGCCAAGGGACACCTGAACCAAGAACACATTTCTTCTGTCCAATGGAAGGGAATGAATGTAATGTCTCCCTGTAACA